CAGCATGCTTCTGGTCGGGCTATGCACAAAAGGAACGACTTTTCTTTAATTTAACGCAGCAACTATGGGATTCGTTCGACATTGTACAGCTACCGTGATACGAAACTAAAAAAAAAAAAAGAAAAAAAAAGAAAGAAATCAGAAACCGATATGTCAAAACAGAAAGTCACACACGAGGAAAGACAGAGGAAAGGAAAGTCGAACGGGAGAGAGCGTTCGCTGCGAACGAGTGTTTTTCTATTTTCGCGCTAGTTTATACAGCGATAATTAGCCCAGTCTATTTACTTTTTCTTCTTCCCTTTTTTTAATCGCGTTATCGTGTAACGTGGCAAAGTTCGAACTGCGAGTTGCAGGTAATAACTTGAACGAGAAAGTTGGAAAAGCGCATCGTCTAGCAACGTCGTTATTAAGAGACGTTAACGCGATACAATTTCACCAGGCATTTATCCTGATCGTCGTACTTATCCTGCTCCGTTATTCCTCGTTCGCGTATACAATAATAATTACAGTAGGAGGAAACGCGGGAAATTCGCCGAGTCGACCAGCTTTTTCGCTGAAATTTTGAGAACTGTATAAACATCGTGACGTGCTTCTCATTTTTACTATTTGCCCAAACTCTTCGAGGCTGCCTTCTCGCCATGGTTACCTAACGTTTCAGGGAAACAGGCCAATGGAAGGAGAACGTACTGCAAAGTGTGCTTTCGATCCCTGCCTATTCGCTGTAAATATGTTAGGTGGAAAAACGGGTCAACGTGATCGAGTTAAGTAACAAGGGCAACGAGAAACACTGTGGCAACTGTAACTCGTTTAATAAATAGTACCGCGGCTTTTATAAATGATTTACCGATGTTATAATTTTGTCCAATCGATGGAGAGATCTGTGGCTGAGGATCGTGAAAAATTTCATCTCCCTAGCACCGTTTTTCTTGATTCTTAGCAAATGGTTGAACAACGAACGACCTTTTCCACGGATACGTATCATTTCCTTGCTCTAATTAATTTTTATTGATAACAATGCATCGATTTTTTCGAAAATTTACCGTACTCGATCGGAATCGTAAATAAAGACGAAATAAAAATCATTGTGGGGTAAATCGAGAATTTACGAATTTGGAATAGCCACGTATTTCAACTATTACGAGTATCGTGTCTGTATCGTCGTAATTAAATAAATTTCTGTACAACGATAACCAGACGACACGTTTTCTCTGTTTTATGAAAAATATCAGTGGCCCGACTTACACCACAATGCATCGTGTCTGCATCGATGGTTACCATCTTTCATCATGGTTTATTGTAAAAATAATTTGTTAAACATGGAAACTATTAACGCCACTCCTCGGAATTCCGCGTACAAACCTCGAAGAGCCGTATCAATATCGCGGTATGAAATGCGCATCGAGCCGTTGCAATTATTTTCGTTTATCAATAACCCACCGTTCGTCGAAAGAACAAACGTATTTCCCTAAAATATTTTATGATCGAGGAAAAATTAGAAAATTTATCGTCTCTTCGTTCGTTGTTAAACCATGAAATAAGAAAAAAGAAAAAAAAAGAAGAAAAACCAACGAAAGAGGAAAAAGAAGGAAAAAATATGACAGAGAATAAAAGTAGCAATAAATATTAGAGAAATGGGAGAAAGGAAAAAATTACGAGGTCTCATTACTATTATACGAAATTTAACAGTTTCGTGGGAGGGCGACTGCGGTGGTATCGATTGCGACCTATATAAAAGATTACGACCGCCCCCCACTCCTTTATGGAAACATCGCTGTTTCTTCGTACACGAATGGAGCTCGTTCGAATCCTCGACTACACCATCGTTCAATCACGTATATAGCGTTATATCGCCGACTTCTTAGAAAACATTGCTTCCGATCTTCCAACGAGGAAACAATTTTTCCAAACGAGCAGAATTTCCACGCCGGAACTTTTTCCACGCCTTTGACGAAATTCATGTTCATCAACGATGCATACTGGAACAATATATCGAAGATGTGCAGAATATAATCAACCGGGCAACTGTATCGAGAAATTCCCTCTCGTGAAACTGTTTCGTTCGTACGATCGATGAAAAAGACCACGATCTTTCGTCTTATTTTCTTTTCCTTTTTCCCACTCTTGGTATTTCTTCCTTTTTTTTTTTTTTATTTTTCTCGTTCTCTTCTCCTTTTTTACGTCTTTCATAGAAGACGAGTGGCACGGTCGAATCAAGAGGCAGCTCGATAACGTATCTGACTTGGAAAGCTGTGTTCATCGGCAACGTCGTGCTTTTTTCACCTTCACCCAGTCGTCCAAGGAAAAATAGTCGGACGCGATCGAATAAAGGGAATTAAATTAACGGGTGAAACCGTGACTCTTTGGGGGAAAAAAAGAAGAGAGAAAAAAGTCTCTCGATGCTCGCAACGCGTATACGGGCGGGTGCAGAGGTGAAAAACAAAAATCGAATTCTCGTCGTAAAGCGGAGAAAGGGAACAGACTTTCTATTGTGAGTCACTTGGCCAACGCGAGGAAACTCATTTCACGTTGTTAAGAATACGCTTAATACGTATAAAGGTATCGTGACTCGTATATTTCGCAAAAATACACTAAAAACCATGGGAACGATAAAATAAAGTAAGAACAGAGAATGGAACACAAGTACAGATTATTTCGATTAAACGTTAAATTTTAGATTGATAAAAAAAGAAATCCATTGAATGGCGCATTGATTTCGGCGCAATGAGCGCTGACACGGGGGTTAACACTAGTACTACCAACCAGGAAGATGCGAAATTCCTACCCAAGAAATCGAAATGGAAAATAGACGAAAAAATACAGATACCAAGAACAAAAAACAAGGTTTTACCCATACGTGTACTTAACGAAAAATCATTCGACTTCCAACAAACGCATTTACATGACATATGAAAAATTACGAATTAGTCATGTCGACTGGTTTGGTAGATTTAGTAATGCGATTTAGTAAACGCATACGTGAGATCGTATTAGGAAATTTGTGATAGCGATTTGTGTAACGCGATGACGTTCCATCGACCCGTGCAATCCTATTCCCGAAATCCATTTCTGCCGACATAACTTTTAGGAAATAACTGTATAAACGTGTTTCATTTACAAAGTTATTCGATAACGCCTATGCAAACCGGCGACCATCTCGCATTTTCCAAGCGAAAAGTATAAACTATATCGCTAGGAATATCGAGGAAAGTTACGGAGGCGAGAAGAGTGTGATGTAACATATAGACGCTTGTAACGTTTAATATCAGATCTCATAAAATGGAAATAGAGAATAATGTATCGTGACGTACATTTTGTACGAAATGTCGCTTTGAAAATTTGGGATTAAAATTTGGAATTAAAAAAGAAACAGGGAGTTTCTGCTTTCTTGGTGCTTCAAAGAAATTAATTGATACCCTTAGCAGATATGCATGAATCGAGACATGGAATTCTTCATTGGAGTAATTTCGAACGAAAATGAAACCACCGTATGATAGACACGGGATAATAATAGTAGGGCTTTGTATCTGTCATTAATGCTATTGTCATTCGATGCAGTTTTACAAATTAAGATGTATTTTCGATATATGAAAAGAAAAAGATAAATGCATATTGTGCAGTTACGCGGTTGTATCTTATTGACATTCAATTTTGAGTTAAGAGAACAGAGATAAACTTATCTAATCCCAATGCTGTCTTACTAGTCTTCTTTTCAGTTGTACTGCATTATATAAATGTATGACCACCGCGTATCTTAACCTCATTCCGCTTTATGAAACGTCATATTGCCGTCCAGTAAGTAATTTATATTAGCAGAGAAATACGAATGTTATCGATCTAATTCGAAAACTATATTCAAGATCGAATGTAAAACTTTTAACGCGTTGTGCAGATGCGCAAAAAGAGCATATACGCGTGTCTGACGTTCGATCATGACTTATGCATTCTCTGTTGAAAATAACTGTATCTACACGACAAATAAAACGTATTTCTAGGAAAATTAAAACGCAATACACGATCCTATAAAGGAGGGAATGTTATAGGTGCGATTGTTACGAGGTTCGTTTTTACAGAATGTCAGGATGATATTCGTCTGAAAGAGGTTACGACATTCAATAGTAAGACGATAATATAGGTTAATAACGATACCTGTCTTTTCTATCTGGATCTTCTCCTCCTTCAGCACCCGTGGGAAGTTTCGCCTCTTCAGTCGGCAATTCTGTGCCGGCGTCTTCTCCTTTTTTTCCCATCCATGTAGACACCTGATTCGTTAAACCGGTGAACATTTTCAATTACAATGCGACAATTACTTCACTCTTGAATATGAGCGTAATATCTTTGTCTCCTTTCTATCCTCTATGCTAGCACAAACGTTACTGGAAACCCTTGCGGGACCGAATGACGACGAAGACTTATCCGTTTCAACGGTCGCGCAACCACGAACTGCGCGGATCTACGTGCGACAGCGCACTTCACATTGCGCAATGTAATTCGCTCGATCGTAGCGTCTCCCGTATCGAACGGAAAAAGGTGGAACTAATATCGCAATCGATTTCGAAGGGTATCGTGGTACGTCGTGCAAAATACAACCTGTACAATCTAAGTTGTAATTTATACATTGCCGTATAAACAGTGCTTGCAAATCTAAATATTCCTAGATTTTCTAGGGACACTAGTACAATTTTCTCTCAGATAGAGCGTAATTTTTAGCGCCATAGTTTAAATACAAAAAGCAGTGAATAGTATATTTCACAAAATTACATGAATTATAACGATTTACTTTTCTAACGATAAAACTAAACATGAAAAAGATAATATTAGGAAGCAGTTTATAGAAAAATATATTATTTTATTATATGTATACAAGGCAATGATAACATTATCGAACTTGGTATACAATTTGTACATTTCCTACTTCTTCGAGTGCTTCAGCATCAGTGTTGCGAATCGTTAAGACCAATAAATTGTACATTGTTACTTAAAATTAGAGGTAGATATGTACGTAAGCATATTCATCTAAATCTACTATATTACTACAGACTAATGTACTATAGATTGGTGTCTTAGTTTACAATATATGCCTTCAAGTGTTGTACTGCACATTGAAATTATGTTCTATGTGTTTCATTGGTACATTTGTACTTCGTATAGGATTTAAAATTTGTGCATTGCTAAATGAAATAAAGATACGAACAGTATCTTATGTTCAATATCACAGCTTAATATGAACATTGTATGAAGAATTTTATGCTATTACTGCCCCATTTTTCGTATTCAAACATATTTTATATTAAACAGACTAACATGACAATCTATATCGTTTGCTTCCTGGCCATCAATGTTTAAAATTTTAAAGTTTTGAGTTTTCCAATTATTGGTGTCTCGCGTTCCTGAATGTTGACATTTTTAACGTTTACTTTCGAACATTACATTTAATCTCTTTTTTTGTAATTGGTCTAATCTATCTAATTCGCAATTGCTTACTTTCGGGATTTTATGATTACTTATATCCGTTATCTCAGTGATTGCTTACGGCTTACGTTGATTAATTCTTTTTTTATACATATAACACCAATTTACTAGAATTTGTAATATTTGCAATTTAACTATGAAACTTTCATAGTCACTGGAAGTTCATGATCAATGCAGATTATGAATTCCCCTAACTTTGTGTTTTACTCTTGTTCGAAATTACGTAAAGGTCGAATAAATTCCGCAAGTCACTAAAGTGATTCTAACATTCTAGATATATACATTTAAGTATTTGGATCTCTAGGAATGTACATTGTCCTGACATAGTCACTATTTTTCTTTCGCCAGCGCCGTTTCAGTTAAAGATGCTTGTTCTCTTTGATACCTGCAAAAATATATCATTTAATCAGACACGTAAAATACATACATAAGATAGAATCTTGTAATTTAATATCGACTTCTTTGAAATTTATCGCTTATTCATACGTAGTGCATACAACGCATAATATAACGATATTGGTTTAACGTTCATCGAATGAATAGAAAATATATGTTTAAATGGAAAGACATATGTATATGTGTGTATATCAACATATCGATATATCCGCTATAAATAATACATCAGAACAGAAAGATCATTATATGATTATTATTATGCTAACTCAAAGATTCTTGCATAACATATAAAACATAGACTTACATTATTCCTCGACTAACTTGGTACAAAGCCGTTAAAGCGACGAACAGATTTACGCTAAAAAGACTCCAATTTTTCGGAGTGATGGCTAAAGAGTACCTGGTCCAGATCAAGCCAGTAATGCCCAAGGCAGACGATTGGCTAACAGAGATTTGACTTGCTGGTCTCTGCAGATCACTGAGGCCAGCTATTACAAGTCCCTGTAATTTGCAAATTCCGATTTAACGTAATTAAAATATATACATATGTATTATATTATAAAAAATGAGAAAGAAACGAAGAAGGAAAATAAGGCGCGTATCACGACAGAATGGGGAATAACGAAAGGGTCAACAATGCAGATCATATTCGGATGATTTACTTTAGAAGGCTGACCTATATTCAGCTGGGTAGATTGACCGTGATTTGTTATAAAATATGCACGCACGCGCGCGTGATACCTAGAAGACATTATCCGTGAAATTTACATTTGTCTAAGTTACGAGTATGTGACATTTACGCGAGATAATTTTCCTTTATTGTTGTTTAATATTGTGTTAGAAAATAGTTATACATGATGAATGTATATGGCTGATTCTATGCCCCATTGTGGAAATGTAAAGCCATTACGGAATTATTAAACGTGATGTTGATGACAATAACGAGATTCATAGTTTCTTTCGTAACAAACGTTACCAGATCAACATCGCATTTGGATCAAGTCCATGAGGATTCACGGTCGAGAAATATTTTTATAACGTTTAGCGCAACGAAGGACGTGAAACACGCGTACAATCTATTTTATGTTAAAATTGATTCATTTATACTAGAGAAAGAAATACTATGTATGTATATTTAGATAAGGAAAGATCTTAAAACGTAATTAACGATTTTCTTCTCCTGTCACAATTTGATACGCTGTGTATATGTCATACACAAATATACATATGTATATTAAATACTTCAAGAGACGTTAAAACTTCAGATATTACTGACCCATTTAAAAGCTGGTGCCCAGAAGAATATAGTCTGCGGACCTGAAAGGGGAAAATAGGTCGAATTGCTGTTATGTATTTCTTTTGTATGTTACTCATATGTAATCCAAAAAAGAAAAAACAAATAAAATACGATCAATTCGCGGTATAGTGATAACGATTGTGTCATATCTCCGAATTCACGTGAATAGTATTTCAAAACGTACACACGTTACTTAATCGCATTCCAACAAGTTCCAAATTCCAATTACAAAAAAGTTAATCTGTCGTAAGCTTTCAGATATTTATTCAGTGAATATTAATGCGTTATCATAAATACTTTGAACTCGTTGACATTGTATAAATTCGCTAGGCAACATGATAGGAAAAATGCATAAAACTATCCAAGGTCTAGCAGATATGCAAGACAATGTATCACGGAATGGCATTGATTTACATATTCACAGACATGAATGACGGTCAAGTTTATCTAAATTTATAGTATCGTATGATACGCGAGACAGCAAAAAAGTAAGGTATGCCTAAAGCTTGTATGACGTCACGACATGTTACTTTTTGCTCCTTCGACCGAATGAGAGTGATGCACAGTGACACGAGCGCATATGTTGTACGCACGTGCCACTGCTTGAGAAAACTGGATAATCATTGATAACTTACTAACCAGCTGGGTGATTCCACAGTGGCTGGAACTTCTGTGGCACAAACTTGCCAATCGCATTCATTGTGTTTTTGTAGGCGACCGACATTGTGTTCCACGCGTTCACACGCCAATAATTGTCAAAAGGCAAACAAAACTTAGAAGATGAATTACTTAAAGATCTGCCACAAAACGAGTGAACGCGGAAAGTACAAGCGGTAAGACGATCCGTACACTGAGACTGAATATCGTGAAGTGCACCGATTGGTAGCCGCGCTGGTGGCACGGGTAGTCTGCTCTTTCCTTTCCCCTCACAGATTTCCGGGACCTAAACCGCTAGTCTAAAACGTACTCTGTATCTCTGTATGTGTGGTTTATATTCGCACACACTAGCGTAGATTATTTAGGACCATGTTAAACATACATGCACTCATGATCGATCAATATTTACGGATAATAGCGATATAATAATCAACGCGCGATCATTAGCACGTGCAAGTACTCTTCAAGAAATATCGATTCGAATCTATACTTAAAAATAATACAGCACGTGGTAAAATCTCGTTCCTAACCACTTTTGATCAATCAAAGATCTATCAAAATAAAGGAAATATTACACGTATAATATTAAAGTTTCGTTTAACAATGTACAAATTTATCTAATTTATCGTTAGATTTGAGCGGTTATATTTAAAATTTCGATGAAATTATCGTATTGTCATTTGAGGATAAGACTACACTGATATGATGATGTTATCGTGTAATCTAAATTATACTTATCTGTCACGTCATCTCCAATTAATGGAATTTAATGATGCGTTTATTAATAGACACACATAGTTATGAACTCAACAAATGAATTCCGAATACTTCTGGCGCTTCGAAGATATGAATTGTTGCAGTGGTGTATAACTTTTTCATCAAACTTCTAACGTACGATAAGCAAATTAATTCTCTAACTTTACCGATAATGTACTATATCATCTACTAACAATACACATACCATAATATAAATAGTATTGGCATTGGCCTAGAGAACAAAATTGAACGGCGTGTGCAGTTGCCAAATCGTATGTCGCATGGTCATTCTGTTCTATTAATGTATTAACCACGTGTAGAGTTGAGGATCGCAATGCGGTAACACGTTTTAAGAACGCAATTCCGCTCTCGGTACGTTGATCTCGTGGGAACGAAACGAGAATATGTATTTACAAATGTATTTTATTTATGTACATTAAAATGTATATAGCCTTTATAACATCAAGTAAAATGAAAATAAATCGCACATAGTACAATAAATGCTATTAAAAATTGAGCTCAACGAGAGAGAATGCAAACTTTATTTTGGCCGACAAACATTATGGTTTACTCGTGAGCAGCGGTATTGTTCGCATCTCCCATAAATTGCACCACAGTTAACATTGAATACATTGGTCATGTGTATTCCTATATCACAAAATTGATAAATATTTCGACGTCTACATAACTATATATTTGTCATTGCATGCATCAAATGCGTCAGAATTTATGCAACCTGTACAATATATATCTTATTTCATTCTTTTACAATAATTGTACTTCGTAATGTTGACAACTTTCCCTCTATACATTATTGTTCTATTTGCTATATCTTTAAATATTTATCTTATTAGAATATTTAGTAATACTATAATTGTATAGAACAAAATAAGTTTGCTAAAATTGAAAAAACACTGAGATTAAATGAATGGCATAAAAATTATCTATAATTTTTAAAATTATAGTATAATTTTATCATATTATTATGATACAAATTAGGGATAATTTTTATGCCATGCATTTAGTATACAATAGTCTATGTTCAATATATAAAGTAAATGCATAACTTAAGTCTTATTTAAAGGAAATTGCGTCATAAATTGATTGTTAAACATATAACTTAAATATACAAACACGCTAAACATTCGACGTCTTTAAATATACGTATATATTATACATTTAAGGCACATAGTATAAAATAACGACAGAAAATAGTATTGACTTCGTTGTTCGATGAACGAGCAAAAATCAGACATGAAAGTTTCCCATAATTTATAAAACATTAGAAATTTACTTTATATTTTATATTTGTTGAATGAAATTTGATTTTTTTAAGATATTATGAAAGACTTACTCCCGCACATTTATAATAGTGTATAATAATTATATTATAACATTATTATAATATAATTTATAAATTAATAGAAACTTAAATCGAAATTTCTTCTATATTGTTGACTTACAAATTTAGCACTTTGTAATTTATTCTTGAACAGTACAAAATAAACATCGAAATACAAGATAATAAATTTCCTAATTATATAAAATTATATTCTAGTTTCATTACGTAATATAAATATTTTATGCATTTTTCTAGTATTTATAATAAAAGTTTTGATCGCTAAAAATGAATAATTTCTTTGCGACTTTTTGTGGTAAAATACAATTATCCGTATTTACAAAAATTGTGTATATAATGCCACAATATATTTTATATATTGCAATAATACTTACTTATAAATGATATATTAGCATTTGTATGTACCCTATATGGTACTTGAGTATAATTATCTAAAATATGTAAAAAAGAGCATTTGTACAAGTAATAAATAGAATAAACCTTACAAGCTACATTTACTTGAGTCACCTAAAAATGGGTCTAAAAACTATAAGTGACTCAAAATATATAGCTACTTCTAAGGTCTGTCCAAAAATTGTATTGTCTATAAATTCATTATAAAAAATGTAGTCGGAACTGCAACTATGGCTTTTCTGTGTAATTGTATAAATAAGAGATCTTATAATTTTCTGATAAATGCATGTGGCAGTGGTATTAGGATATTGTTAAATAGTTTTCATGTGCCCCATGTGCAGTTTTGAGCATCAATCAATTAGATTGTATAAAAATGCAATAAAATTTTAACACCATCGTTATTATGATCATCAGCATTGATCAGTTTCTTATTTTTCTACTTGTAATGTATTTTATCTCAATGTAGTAGTCATATCTACCATTCATAAAACTCAATGCATTGAGCTTATATCGAATTTTTACTTATATGCAAGTAAAATTATTAGAACAAATATAATTTCAATAGACTAATTATAAAATCTTTTTAAATTGATTTATAAAACCATTTAATAAAAATAATTATCATTAATTATATCCACATAATGTAAAAGTACTAACAGATCCATATATATCAACTGTGACAAATTTTGTAAAATCGGTAGATATGCATACTTTAGCAAAAAAATTCGAAGGTAGCTCGACAACACCTAATAAGGCTGGCTTGTTGGGATTTTTACCCTCTTTAAATTTCCAAAATTTAGTTTCTTTATCTATGTCAGACTTAGTATCTTTATCTTCTACCTGATTTTGCATATTGAAGATACACGAGTCTATGCTTTGACTAGTAGACATATTTGGAGTAATATTTCCTTTTACACCAACGGAAGGAGTACTAATGCTGCGATTTATTCGTATCGATGGCCATTTCGGTTTACGTATGTATAGAGCTAAAGCAATGTTCCACCAAACTAATTCGTCGGAACTTACAGAAAGCAAAATTGGGACTTCAATTACAGATGGAGCCCAACGTAACTGAGTAACAGAACTTGTATGAAAACTCAATTTATTTATCTCTTCCGATGTTGATGTATCAATAATCTGAAAAGTAACAATATTGTAATTTAGCTAGGGAAATTGTTTATAATGAATACTTACAGAAATGTCTCCATCTTCGAAACCTATAGCTAAATACTTCTCATTTTGCGAAATTTCACAGCATGTTAATTTCTGGGTATATTTTTTTTTAAAATATTCAATTATTTTGATATATGCCGGCAAAGACATTGTATTTTGTTGTAATTTATAGAGAACAACATCTCCATTTTCATTTAACACAGCTAGAAAACTTTTGTGGTAACTTAGGCAACTATAAATGCTAACTGAGTCTGGATTTTTTACTATGTCCACTCGCACCCAATTTGTGCCATTAATATTCCAAATTGTAATTATACCATTTCTAGTCACTGTTACTACACATTCTTTATCAACTTTATGAATTGCAATAATATATCCTGCATCTTCAATTAAATACGTTAGTTTTACGTTTTCCCACACCTGTAAAAGATAATATATAAATTAAGACAATCTAGAAATATTTTATCATTTCTGATATATAATACAATTTTATTTTACTTTTAAGTTATTATCAGCTCCTCTACAAACGAGTATATCATTGTTGCGATCTCTTTTCATATCTAGAATTTCAACTAACTCCACATTAGATGTGAAGTTTAATACAGGTATATTTTCTTTACTCCTTATGTTAAATATATTGACAATGCCTTTATCAGTGACATAAATTATTTTCTCTGCATAAAGAATTAAGTTATTTATTTTTGCATTAATAGGTTCAGTTTCTGCTATTTTATTATCATCGACTAATGTAATAATAGTATTTGACAGAGTTTCTGTAACAATAGTATCCGGAGCATCACCAAAATTCTGTACTTTTGCATCAAATAAATGTTTCCTTATTGAAGTACTAGTTCCTTCTACTGGAAGTTTCCACTTATGAAGTAATTGATTTTCACTACCGCAAATAATGTGACATTCTTCTTCTCTTAACCAATATGTATCCAAGGAGGAGACACGACTTCTATAAGTAGCTATTGGCTGATGTCCAACATCTGTATTCCATATATTTATAAAACCACTGGAATCAGCTAAGACTATGTACCGACCATCATTAGTCAAACTAGCACAAACATAAACAGTTTTTTCATTTTCAACACTTGCTCTTGTTTGCTTATTGTAACTGTGTATATGGTTATGTGATCTGAACCATTTTACATATACAGCTTTCTCTTCAGTAACAATGAATAAAGAATTATTTTGTTCTGGCACACTGCAGAAAAGGATAATTTTCTTTTTCTGTAAATCTACATTGTATTGTGATATATATTTAAACTCTTCGCCTTGTTTACAATACGATATTAGGACACCATGTATTTCATCCATTACATGAACCAGATTACTTCCCATTGTAAACGCTATATTTTTAAGGTTACTGCAAAAATTTATGTTTTTATTTTTTATACTACTACCAATATATAAACAATGTATAAACAAACAATTTTATTAAATTTACCTTTGAGGGCTATGGCCATGATCTGATAATATATTTCCACGGCGATCCCAAATCTAAAGAAAAGAATCTTATTTTATTTAATGAAAATATGTTAATAAACTTTTATTTAAATATATTTATACCCTTATCGTTCCTTTGTTTGTACAAGCTGCAACAGAGCTACTGTCATGTGCAAATGTCATATCCAATATAATTTCACCAGGAACAGAAAATACTACTGAACTATCATCATGCGGAACTTTACTTGTAAAAATTCCACTCCAAAAAGACTGTTTCTGTCTCGGACTTAATACAGCAACATTATTTTGTTTATAATTTTCGTCATCAAAAAGTCTGAAAAGTTTCACAACACCATGGTCATCTAGCGATAAAAAACAATCTCCTTCATTAGATATGATAATCTTTTTTATGCAACAATTCTTGTCATGTCCAGTGAAAACTTTTTGCCTCTTGTAAAAGATATCCCACAAAAATATTTCACCTCTTCCATTTCCAATTAAAATTAGGTTTGGATCACATGTAAAACATAACGTGTGTACTTTCGTTAATACTTCTTCACTTAATGGCATATCCATGTGCCTTAATTTTTTAGCATGAAATATATATAAATACTTGGATCTTTCTTTTGCAAGTTGAGTGGCAGTATCTTTAACATATCCTTCATAAGGATGACTCAAAGCAATTTGTACTATATCCAAACAATTTTTACGCCTATGTTCTGCTATAACACTTGATTGTTCTTCTAAGAATTTTTCCAAGTCTATAAGACGCATTTCATATACTTGATCATAATCTTTGGTAATATATTTTTTATAATTATTTAAATCGATCAATAAATTATTTAGGCCACTATGAATTATTGCTTGTTGAATAAAATCAAAATCTAAATATATATTAGGAAACTCATCATATAATTTTGCTTGTTCTAAATGGTATCCAATATAGGAATAACTGTAATTATCTGCCGGTAATTTCGAAAAATTACCATTACAATATTTACGATATTTTTCAATCAATGACTTGTGCATTTCTACTAATTCACCCTCTGAAAATTTTTTTCGTAAGTGGCAAAGTAATAAATCATGTACGCCATAAATGTAACTTCGTAATTCTGCATTCCACTGTTTAGCAGCAAGCGATTTATGACATAGATCAAGCATCATTTCTTCAACTTGAAAAGGGGATCCTCCCCACAAAATTTCCAATGTCTATAAAGTAAATATATAATGTATACAACAATAATATACAATTTTGAATGTTTTACATACAATTATTAAATGATGTAAGACTAGAAGTTGTATTACCTGCGGTGTTATATTAACATCCTCTCTAAAAATAACTAATTCTTCATAATGTTCTCTCATTTCAAGAGGTAACTGATCTATACACATATTAAAAATGGCTTCTTGTTTCTCCAAGAATTTTTTAATTACTCTAAAAAACATATAAAACATTATTTCATATTATTCCAAGATGAAATTATTTATATACACTTATATGTTTGACATATTACTGATTTTTTTCATCCTTATTTCTTAATGAATCCAAGTAATATCTCCATCTGTTTGAATGTAACTTCATATCATGTTTAAATTCTTCAAATTGCGCAGAAAACATTGCTATTAATAAAGGCATCCCTTTACATTCTTCATTAATTAGTTTCGCTTCTACAGGAAGTTGTTCCACTTCTGTATCTAACACCTTAGCGAACAGACCTAAAGTTTCTGCTTCAGTAAATCCATCATTCATCTGTAAATAAATAATATCCATAGTATGTTTATTAAAACAAATAAATATCACATACAGATAGGAAAAATAATTTACTTCAATGACACAAGGTCTCTTTTCCAATACAACATCAAGATCAGCTGTAATCACTAATGTCTTGCATTCAAAATCAAATGTGTCAATTATTTTTTTATCACAAACATCGTCCAAAATTAACAAAGCATTGCAATGTTTTGCTCTACTAAAGTAATCTTGCAAGAAGTGGATCAACGAATCCTTTAAAGATTCTGGTTTATACGAATCTGGTAATATTTCCAGGTTCTTAACAAGGTGATATAGTCTATTAAGTTGAATTAATATATCTTCATCAACTGAACGCTTATGTCCAAATTTGATCCAATATACTTCATTCTGGAAGAAATATAACAAACAGCTTAAATTACAGACAAATATTGTGCTTATAATTTTTTAGTGTATGACAACTTACATAAAATATATTTCTTATAAATTTACTATTCTTTAATGTGCTAGCTGTTAAAGACGATTTACCAAAACCTTTCATACCATGGAGTACAATATATTCATTCGGTTGTAATTCTTCTAGGCAATTTTGTAACTGTTTCATCTAAAATTAATAACCATTAGTTTAACATTATAGAAAAATTATCCATAATGAATAACATTGGCATTAACAATTATGTGATAACTTTTCTTTTTAAACTTACATTTGATTTCCATAAGTATGCATGCATAATAACAAATATCACAATTAATAATAAATAAATATCTGATGTTTTAATAACATATATACATACCTTTTCCTCTCTTACCACAGTTAATGGTGAAATTGGCGGAAGAGTGGGTGTACCCATATACTTTATATCTGAAAAAGATTTTCCATTTTCTTCAAGTTTATCCATATCATCACTTAACCATTCATAATGATGTCTTAAAGCTTGACGAAAAATATCAAATGCAAGTGGACCACGACTAAAAAATAAAGGGTGATGAAGGAAACTAAACTTGTCAAAAATATCTTGTTACATAAATGTAACAAATTTTATATTCCATATCTAATTTATACCTTGGAAGTATATCTAATAAGATTTCAGCTTTTCTCTGTTTAGAAGCACCTTTTTCAATTTCTTGTATGTGCTGATCTCTTAGTATATATTCCGATTGCAATGGCTTTATAATACCATTATGTACATCCATATCAGCCACTATATTTTCTCGTAGCATTCTAAGAATATGTTTATGCAATTTTTCCATTTTTATATTTTTGATATTTTGTAAATATGCTTCGTTACATTACATTTGTCCTGTTTTTAATAAAATTATCTATAAATACAAAGAGAAATAAAACTCTAATTCTAACATGAAAATTCTCAGGTAATAAAAGTATATATAGAACGTCATTTTTTATTCCTAAATATAGAGATATCATGGCTTTCAGGCGAAATAAACCTTGACAAAATATCTGTTACCTGTCTACTTTATATATATTTTAAATAATAAATTAAACTAACAGTAAAGGTATGAAATTAGTTATGCTTAGAATGTTCTGTATAATAAATGTTTATATTTTATTTACAAAAGTACTATTTTGAAAGAATTTACAAACGAAAAAATATAATACAACATTCATAAAATACATATTATCTTTGCTATATATACATATGTATAGACCTAAGTTTTTCTTGAAGATAATCTTGTTACAAGTTTCATTCTTCTATATATATTGTATAAATAATACACTTTTATAGTAATAAAAATTACTTATTTAATGTATCGTTTCTACTTCCTGTAACTGTAACTTCATAAAATCAAAGGATACTTCGGTCAATGACTTCAAAATTAAATTCGAAGACTTTAATGGTTCGGAAATGTTTAGAAATAATTCTTCATTCAATCTTACCTGATTAATGCTGTTTGTGCTCAAAATGTACAGTATTTTGCGTGGCCTTTGTTTGATAAATAAAATAATCGCCTTATCATTCAATTCAACTTCACTTCACCATCTAGAACTAACTGAAGTAAATGACTATTACCGCGTGCCTGAGTCAAGCAGCGTCGTTGCCATTGTTGCCAAATCTACAAATCGAACTCATAGTTACTTGATTGGTTGTTGCTATCGCACAATGACAGTTTTCCCGCCAATTCTGTTACTTTTCAAAAGTTCTCTCAACGAAAACCATTACGATAGTGTTAAAAAATGTAGATAATAGGAACATTTAAACATTTATGATGATCAAAAATACGATTGAAATGCAGAAATGTAACGAAAAAGTTAGGAAACACGGTTTTTGTTACACGTGATATATCGCAGAAGTAAAATTTCCATAAGACAATTACAAATATTTTTTGGCTGCATTTGTTATTCATAAAAAATATTCAGTATTACCTCCATATTTTTTTAATCAAATATTTTGTTATAGTATCTTACCGAAATCGAATGTATAGCCTTATCAAAGAAGTTCACAACTTCTTTGAATACGACACATTCGAGGTTAGTAAAATATTCTTATTGCTACAAAATAATTATAATAAACTATTAGGAAATTATTACGAAGTTCTTGTTATTATTAATACAAAAAATTATACGGTAAAAATCTTCAAAAATAAACCCCTGCGATAGCCGGGAATCGAACCCGGATCAACTGCTTGGGAAGCAACTATGCTGACCATTACACCACCATCGCAGTATAAATACTATTTATGTGAAATATTTAAAAAAAACTATCGTAATTACATAAAATAGAATATAGTACAAAAGTAAAATAAATCCCTGCGATGGCCGGGAATCGAACCCGGATCAACTGCTTGGAAGGCAACTATGCTGACCATTACACCACCATCGCAGTATGAATACTGGTTGTACGGATTATCAGAAAAACTACTATAAATCCATAAAATAGAAAATCGTTTGAAAGTAAAATAAATCTCTGCGATGGCCGGGAATCGAACCCGGATCAACTGCTTGGAAGGCAACTATGCTGACCATTACACCACCATCGCAGTTGAAATGTTATTGTTCAAACAAAAAGACACTGGTGGGAATAAATAAACTATTCGAAGAAAAAATATAAGTTTCAAGAATGAAAAACAAACCACTGCGATGACCGGGAATCAAACCCAGATCAACTGCTTGGAAGGAAACTATGCTGACCATTACACCACCATCGCACTTGAAACATTGTTGTTTAAAAAAAAAGACAATAATGGGAATGAACTAATTATGTATTTGAACAAAAAATACAAAATTTCAAAAATAAAAAAATAAACCCTGCGATGGCCGGGAATCGAACCCGGATCAACTGCTTGGAAGGCAACTATGCTGACCATTACACCACCATCGCAGTATGAATGCAGTTTATTTGGAATATCAGAAGAACTAATTATAATTGCATAAAATAAAATATTTATATAGTAGAGTATTGTTTTAATTCTATTTTTCTTTTTATATGGTAGATTATTGGGACATTATTTTGGTCTTGGAGGAGGTTTCTTTCGTCTAAATATAAAAACGCTTCGGGGAGGATGTAACCTGTTGTCAGTGTATTTTTGTAATATGAGTCGTTTGGAAAGAAGCAACCGAAGATTAATCTGTTTTCTTTTATCTTTGCAGCTTGCGCGAAGTGGTTTCTTGTTAGTTTTAAGATGTGACAGTCGATGCGGTGGATATTGGCTAAGTCGTAGATTCTTTCATTTTTCATATATTTTTTGAATCCGCTGTGTTCGGATCTGTAAGTACTCAGGCAAGCTCTGATGCATTTTCTTTCGAATATGCGAATTTTTTCCATTTGGGAAGCTGATATGTTGTACCAGATTGGGCAGCCATAGTTTATGATCGGTCTGATTAGTGCTGGGTTGCATAGGATTTTTACTTTGCTGTTGAGATGTTTGGAGTAGAATAATCTTTTTGTTTTCCAGAATTTTGCTGGTTTTGGAAAGTTGAATTTCGATGTGCTGCTTGAAGTTTAATATGTCGTCTATATTTACGCCTAAATATTTTACGCAATTTTTATGTGGTACGAGCTCCCCTTCGTTTGCTTTTTCTCTTAGTTGAAATTTTTTACAGAGTTCTCTTTCTATTGGGCGCTTGACTTGGGTCTAAATAATATGTTTTCGCATTTGTTTGCATTGATTGTTAGTTTTCATGTATAGTAGTAATCGTTAATTTTGTCAAAAAGTTCTTAGAGTTCTGTTCTTATTGTTTTGGTTTTGCGGCCTGCTACGTAGATGATTAAGTCATCTGCGAAGGCTATGGAAAATGACCATTACACCGCCATCGCAGTTGAAACATTGTTGTTTAAACAAAAAGAGAATAGTGGGAATAAACTAATTATGTATTTAAATAAAGAATACAAATTTAAAAAATAAAAAATAAACCTGCGATGGCCGGGAATCGAACCCGGATCAACTGCTTGGAAGGCAACTATGCTGACCATTACACCACCATCGCAGTTAAAATGTTATTGTTCAAACAAAAAGGCACTGGTAAGGAAAAACGAACTATTCGAAGAAAAAATACAAGTTTCAAAACTAAAAAACAAACCACTGCGATGGCCGGGAACCAAATCCGGATTAACTGCTTGGAAGGCAACTACGCTTACTATTGCACTACCATCGTAGTTGAAGTCCTACGCTTTTAAAGATATTTACTGCCTGTAGATAAAGCGACTTAAATAAAAAAAATATAAGCTTGGTGAAAGTAAAATAAACCTGCGATGGCCGGGAATCGAACCCGGATCAACTGCTTGGAAGGCAACTATGCTGGCCATTACACCACCATCGCAGTTGATGGAAGAATTTCACATAGAGAAATTCTATTTCCGTATTTGGAAATTTAATCAAATCAAAGCTTTTACTCTATTTTTCATTTTTCACTTCCAAAAATTTTCTCATACTATAAACGCTTATAATCCAAGTTACAGTACCACGCCAGAATAATTTACTTATAATTCTAAATGAGAATTGATTGCAAACTAATTCCAACTAAAAAAAAGGAAAAGAAGAATTGAATATTGTATATTAACCCGTTCAAGTGTGCAGGAACGTTCTTAGCGAGCCATGGTTTATGACTGTTCGCTCGAAACCCAGATGTTGGGACACGTGGTTTGTGTCAAGGCATTCTACCATAAGGATGTCACTCGTCAAAGAAAATACGGAACAATAGACTGTATTTGTTCCTAACAATTTCCCCTACAAGAGATGAAAAGGCTCGAAGGTCCACTTTCAAACCTGCAAACCGGCCAATGAGAAACACAAAATCTATCTTCTGCGTTACACACATCATGTTAATACGTTCGTCGTGTCACGTAAACTTAAGGGTTGGTTGATGAAATAAAATAGCTGAGTTCTAACACAACTATTAATTTTGTTTTAATTAAGCTTTATTGTGAATTCAGCAATCACAATGTAACACACACCGAATTAACGTAAATCAGAATTCACTCCAACCACGTTATGTAAGACTTAGTTACGACGATACGTTAGGTACGCGACTGTTATAAGGGTAGAGACTATTAGGGTAAAGGGTAAAGATATGTCGACTATTCTGAGGATACAGAATAAGTGAGTTTTACCGACGATACCGTGTCTGAGGAAGGCTAGGGGTGGGTGTGTCTAAGGACACGGGGCAGTAGACACCGTCTCCGTTTGGATAATAACACGGTTGGTGGACCAGGAAGGGTTTTAGCCGCCCTCGCGAGAAAGTTGCTAACGGAACATACCAGATGCCAAGAAAACCAACTTTCTATGCTAACACGTGGTAGACAATAAAAGTAAAGAAAACCTAAGACAAGAGATACTCGCTTGGTCCGAAGGACCTTAACTATGAAAATTCCGAGGTTCTTGAGACTATCGAGGGTACGCGCCAAGGATGTGCAGACATCTGGGTGCCATCCTGTCCACGGTGTGTGACCTGGTCTCTGATGTGAATTGACGTTACATCGAAAATGAACGCGCTGTTGTTCGTCACCGGTAAACGCGAACTTGCCGCATATACGTTCGCTTGCTCCTGTTTCTGCCCTGAACCGTTTAAACCGTTTGTTTGGAACAAGCGAATATTTCACGTATTAGGTCGTGAAATTGGTCAACTGCATTTTGCATGAAATACTGAATTTCAGTAGTCAGGTATACAATTAATATTCAACGTTTCGAAAAACAAAGGACTTTTCACGATTGTATTTATTACAGGCAGATAGTGCGAGTAAACAATGTTTGTGTTTTTCATTTTTCTTCACGTTTCAATTTATTTCAGTTTCAACCAACGTGATTTCCGAGCGTTTCGCATATGAAAAGAGACGCGTGTTTTCTTTAAATGACAAATACTTTAGAGGCGTATTTTTGGTGATATATGTGCCACAGGCGAGGATTTCCAAGAGAAATATCTTTGTTAACGCGTTCGTCGCCACGTCGCACATATTCGTGCGACGGATATACTTCCGTGGGGGCCCCGTCACCAACGTATGACGACGCTCTTCTTGTTCGAGTTAACAGCACGAAAATGCAGTTCATAAAAATTCGAACGCAGAGAACGTGCAAAGACAGAGAGAATGAAAGTCCGAAAAGAAACGATTACGCCACGCGTCATACTACACGCGCATTTATTAATTTTCTCCGTTAAATATAAAATATGTACATCGATCACGAAAATTATTTATATTTTATGGTCGGTACTCAAATCTTAGTTACAACATAATTTTTTTGCAATTAATTTCACGTAAATCGTCTTCATCGTCGCGAGTGACAGTGATTTATCGCGGGAAATTCGAAAACAACGTATCGCGGTATACTGGACATTATCCGTGACACGTGCAAAATGGCACGCAACTGCAGACTTTTATCTTTTGAAACTAAAATACGCATGCTTATTGAAACGAGCGATTAGTTGTATAAAAATGAAATCTGCACGATTAATATCAGCGCACGGTAATAACGACGTTTGAATGCCGCCGCTTAATAAGCACACGTGAACCATTGTTCTCCGTTCGTAAATTAAACTGCTTTACCCTTTCAGAATGATGCGTCCATTCTTTAAACCTCGGGAGAACAAACCTTGCTTTATCCCTAAAAA